AGCAGCTGTATGGCTTTAGCTGTAAGACTTGTTATATTAACAACATATCTGAATCTCTAGCAAGTGTCCCATGTCGCTAATGATCATCCGGCCACACTGCCAACCAATGCAAGCTTTCTGCCAGGATTAAAACGCACTTACTGATAATCCTGACTGTCCCAGAATGCTTTGTGAGAGTGTCATGTCTGCACAGGGAAGTTACATGTGAGTCATTAAAGGTGGGATGAACTACTGACTTTGAGAAATCTACCCATAATTAAATATAATGCAATGTCACACTGCATCTGACTACAGCCCTAATACTACTCTAGAACATATTCAGTGTAGTTCCTCCTTAACTCTTTACTATTCCAAATAAAATAAATAAACGCAACAGGAAACGTAAATAACACACAATACGCACTGATATCTGGAGAAAGAGATCACAGAATGGTAATATAATGATAGTGCACAGTTATAATTAATGACTTATCATATATGTATGGTGCAAGACAATTCTGTTTAATTTAGATTTTTTTTCTCTCCTGCTGTTTTAATAGACTGCTTGACCCTACAGGAGTCTCCTGTGTGTGATAAAAGTTAAATTTACAGGAGATTTGCAGGAGATACAAACATCTAAAGTAAATTAAGATCTGATTTAAAATCAAACCATTTTATCATGGAGGCTGTGTGAGTCATAGTCAAGGGAAGCGTGGCTAGGGCTGCATAAACAGAAACAAAAGTTATTTAACTGAGCAGTGAAACTGCAGGGGCACGATCTATACACCAAAACAACTTAATTAACATAAAGTTGTTTTGATGCCTCTAGTGTCCCTTTAAATAATGATGGCATCACTGTGGAACACCCAGAAGATAATTTCAGGGTTACATCAAAAATCAAAACAGAAAGGCTAGAGAGGTTATGGTTCAGCCAAACTGAAAAAAAATAATAGAAAAAAAAATCACATATTAAAAATATGTGAGAGGCACATTCTGTGTTCTCCAAAACCCTCTGTGATCATAAGACTAGAAGTACAAGTATCAAGTCATGGAGAATCCATAAGAGACCTTCACGAGTACCCACCACTTCATGCATTGTACCTGCCATCTGATGTCCTTTAACAGTTAGAGTCCTGCCGTTCCTCTGCGATATTGCTAGGTACAACGCGTTTCACTGAAGACAGGGTTTTTAAATTTTTTTATTTTTTTTCCAGCTGTCCTGGGGTTCTGTTTTATTTAATAAATGCAGTTGTTTGGATGTAAATACAATTTAAATAAAAATAGTGTTGAATCAAAACCATTTGTTTTTTCCAGATTCTACATCAACCCAGTCTGCAAAATCCAATTCATGCCTTGTGCAATATACACATATATACATACAGAGAGGGTCATGGAATAAGCCCCATCTTGTGATAGTTCTTTAGCATTTATATCGGAAGATGATATCACCCACAGGCATCACACGACAGTAAAATGAAAGTAGATTTATTCCTAAGGAATAGGTGCATTTTTTAATCAGAATTTTTTTTATATATATATAATAATATTTAATCTGTTCCACTATATTTGTAGCATTGCATTTTAAGTACCGCGGTCATTCCTGTTTTGGTTAAAGTATTTTAAAGTAGTTTCCCCTTAGATTCTATTTATGTATTCTATCACAAAAAAATCAGTCGCATTCTATTATGTTTGTTGAATTGTTCAGTTTATGACACGACTGCATTCTACTGCTGTCTTCATATTACATACAGAATTGTGTCTCGTCATTAATCAGTAAATAATAAACCCAAATATCTTACTTAGTATAAATTGAGAAATTAAATTCAGAGATTTGCTTTGCTCACCTAGTTCAGGACCCTTGTCAAGGCAACGATCCCAGAACATGGAAAGGGTTAATCAGAGTGAATGATACTGAGGCCATAAACAAGATGCATTATAAGTAGTGATGTCACGAACGGTTCGCCGAACGGTTCGCCACGGATGGCGAACATAAACATAAACTTTGACCCTGTACCTCACAGTCAGCAGACACATTCCAGCCAATCAGCAGCAGACCCTCCCTCCCAGACCCTCCACCTCCTGGACAGCTCACTAAGAATGCAGCTTCACAATGAATGTAAAATGGATGCTGTCCAGGAGGTGGGAGGGTCTGGGAGGGAGGGTCTGCTGCTGATTGGCTGGAATGTGTCTGCTGACTGTGAGGTACAGGGTCAAAGTTTATGTTTATGTTCGCCGTCCGTGGCAAACCGTTCGGCAAACCGTTCGGGACATCACTAATTATAAGCTCATATTTAGAAACATTTGCTGTTATTCAAATGTTACAAGTATTGATTTTCCAATAGCCTGTTTTTATATTTGTATTTGATAGGCCCCCAGTAGATACATTAAAACCCAATAGATGATTGTAAGGTATATGTCTTATTATGTTTCAAAGGATACACTCTGCCTCCTTTCATATTAAGATATATTGTATGTTTATAAAATATATTCTATTAATATTACACATTTATATTTGTTATTATACTCTAATTAGGTTTGTGGTATGCAGATACATCTTTACTTTGTAATAAGAGTTTGTGTTTTTGTGCATATCACTATGGTAAGCACGTAGAGTTGGCTTTATTATGGTGTAAATGATTTGAATATTATTTATTACTCTGAGTTGGATGTTTAAGTCAGATATGATTAAGGTCTAGTAATTGGTGTTAGTATAAACATTATTATTAACCAGTGTGGCGAAAGTAACCTCGCCATGGGCTCCTGGAGGAGCCAGCTTGCCAGCCTCTTGCCCTAGGACTATGGGCTCTGTAAAAGACATGGGAAAAGGTTTAGTTTGTGCCAGTTTCCTATGCTGTTCGGAAACTGAACAGACGCACGAACTAAGGAGCTTGTTAAGCCTTATTATCACCGCTTAACGATTCTAACCGCAGTATTCTAATTGTTCATCTGGGTGGCCGCAGGTCATATGAACGACCACAAAACGCATGCAGCTGTGTTTGGGGGCGTCGAGTTCATGGAACTGAAATCGGACACTGAAACTCCTGAACACCGCTGGACTACCATCATCGTCTGTGTTCGTTTCTACATCACCTGGAAGGACACTTTTCAGTGGAATAGTTCATCTGGATGAGGGGAACAAGCTCCACAGTATGACTATTCGAACTTTATCGACCGCTACCACTTTTTCCCTGGAACTGCTTTGGGCATAGGACCATGAGTGTGGTCAAATTATGACTTCCATGAAAAACCGGAACCCCTGAACCGATCTGGGTGATTTTTGGATATGTTTGTCATTCAGATCGGGGATCAGGGGATGTAACTTTTGTGGGGGTTTTATGTGATTTAGGGGTACAGGAGCAAATTGTATGTTTTTCTGTTCCTGGAGATAATTGAATTTTTATAGTTCCTGACTCAATTATCTCTCAGACACAGAGGAGGAGTTTGCAACTTGTATACATTCTGTGACTGTGCTTCCATTAAACAGACTACTTCCCAGCATTAAGCCTTGGCTCATGTCTGGGTGGGGATTGCTATACTGCTCTTTGGATTACTATACCTGGTATATTCTCTTGGAGGAGAGGTCTTCCCACTGGGATAAAGGTGTTGGTCCAGCCAAGCTGCAGCGGCTAAGGCGGGTACAGTGGTTATAGTGTCTGGTGCGGTGCTTATAGTACTCATTGAGCACTAGGAAGCGTGATTGGCAGAGGTACCCAGTCAGGGTGCCAGGCGGTCCACCACAATCAGTGCTTTGATTTCTGAAATGAATGCTGTCTACACAGAGAAATCATGGACGCTATATTGGCAGATCTTTAATTTAGAATGACAGATAGACATGGTTAGATTGCTAACTCCAAAGCTTGAAATCATTAGATTGAGATAGATCAATAGAGATTTCTGGATGAAGATATTTACAGTAGATTGATAGCTGGAGATAGCTGGATCTACAGATTAAGATCAATAGGCAAATAAACCATGAATGGTAGATTGTATTGGTCAATGATTATAGAAATAACTTTACCATTAGATGAAGATTTATAGACCGAGATTACTGCAGAATCCCCCACTTTCTAAATGTATTTGATGATTATACTCTTGCGAACCCCCCTCCCATTTTTGGGCTCATCATGTGAATTTATTAAATTGATTACCCTAACAGTTAGACTGGATTAATTGCTTAGACTGCAGATGTTTTTTTGTTTTTTTTATTATTTAGTATTTGTTTCTAAGCTTAAAGGAACACTACAGGGTCAGGAACACAAACATTTAATCGTGACCCTATAGTGCAAAACCAACCATTTGGGTGGCTTTTGATATACATATTTAATTTTCTTTTTATGGACATTAGACACAAATAGGAACATATCTTACATTACACATTCTCAAAGCCCAATCATGTAATGCTACTGGGCTATTTACACTCTGGCTTAAAATATATGCGTTCTCATTCCTTATTCAGGACAAAACATCTCCATCTATAAGGTTCTTTTTGGAAGTGCAGAATGAACATGATTTTTAAAACTTCACTCAAACAGTGAGAGAACGTCTTTAATGGGTTTTAGGGACAGTTAATCTTTCAATCTCTGAAGGGTGTGTGAACCCCAGAGGCATTATTATCCTACACATAAAGATATCAATTTTTCACGAGCATTATAGGAGAAACACGATTAATAAAAGAGGAGACCCTGCACACATAAATATACAGATGACAGTTCTGCCTGCAGGTAATTATTAAAATGTAATCCATACATTGAGCCAATGCACCGACAGAAAGTGAGGCAGGATTGAAATTATTTCCACCTTAAATTTGATTTTGATGCTTCTCCCACAATGTATCAGTTGGAGAAACCACAGGTTTTGACACAGCTCAATCATGGACTGGTTCAATCCCAGAATGACGGGCACCTCAATCCCAGAATGGCAGGTGGCCCAATCCCAGAATAGCAGCCCAATCCCAGAATGGCAGGTGGCCCAATTCCAGAATAGCGGCCCAATCCCAGAATAGCAGTTGACCCAATCCCAGAATGGCAACTAAATCACAGAACAGAAGGCGGTTCAATCACGGATTGGCTCAATCCCTAAATGGCAGGAGTCTAAATTACAGAATAGCTCAATCCAGGAATGGACGGACGGCTCAATCACAGAATGGACAGGCAGCTCAATCACAGAATGTGCGGGCGGCTCAATCACAGAATGACGGGCAGCTCATTCCAGGAATGGACGGATGGCTCAATCACAGAATAGCTCAATCCAGGAATGGACGGGCGGCTCAATATCAGAATGGATGGACGGCTCAATCACAGAATGACGGGCAGCTCAATCACAGAATAGCTCAATCCAGGAATGGAAGGCAGCTCAATCACAGAATGGACGGGCGGCTCAATCATAGAATGGACAGGCAGCTTAATCATAGAAGGACAGGCGGCTCAATCACAGAATGACAGGCGGCTCAATCACAGAATGGACGGGCAGCTGAATCACAGAATGACGGGCAGCTCAATCACAGAATGGACGGGCAGCTCAATCAAGAATGAGGGGGGGCTCAATCCCAGAGTGACGGGCGGCTCAATCCCACAATGGACGGGTGGCTCAATCACAGAATGACGGGCGTCTCAAACACAAAATGGATGGGCAGCTCAATCACAGAATGACGGGCAGCTCAATCACAGAATGACGGGCAGCTCAATCACTGAATGACAGGGCAGCTCAATCACAGAATGACGGGGCAGCTCAATCACAGAATGGGGGGGTTCAATCACAGAATGGACGGGCAGCTCAATCACAGAATGAGGGGCAGCTCAATCAAAGAATGACGGGCGGCTCAATCAAAGAATGAGGGGCAGCTCAATCACAGAATGAGGGGCAGCTCAATCACAGAATGATGGGGCAGCTCAATCACAGAATGGACGGGCAGCTCAATCACAGAATGACGGGTGGCTCAATCACAGAATGACGGGTGGCTCAATTACAGAATGATGGAGCAGGTCAATTACAGAATGAGGGGGGGTTCAATCACAGAATGAGGGGGGGTTCAATCGCAGAATGGACAGGCAGCTCAATCACAGAATGACAGGCAGCTCAATCACAGAATGAGGGGCAGCTCAATCACAGAATGACGAGCAGCTCAACCACAGAATGGGGGGGGTTCAATTGCAGAATGGACGGGCAGCTCAATCGCAGAATGGACGGGCGGCTCAATCACAGAATGACGGGCAGCTCAATCACAGAATGGACAGGCAGCTGAATCTCAGAATGACGGGCGGCTCAATCACAGAATGGACGGGCGGCTCAATCACAGAATGGACAGGCAGCTGAATCTCAGAATGACGGGCGGCTCAATCACAGAATGGACGGGCGGCTCAATCAAGAATGAGGGGGGGCTCAATCCCAGAATGATGGGCGGCTCAATCCCACAATGGACGGGCGGCTCAATCACAGAATGACGGGCGGCTCAATCACAGAATGAGGGGCTGCTCAAACACAAAATGGACGGGCAGATCAATCACAGAATGGGGGGGGGTTCAATTGCAGAATGACGGGCGGCTCAATCCCACAATGGACGGGCGGCTCAATCACAGAATGACGGGCGGACAGGCAGCTGAATCTCAGAATGACGGGCGGCTCAATCACAGAATGGACGGGCGGCTCAATCAAGAATGAGGGGGGGCTCAATCCCAGAATGATGGGCGGCTCAATCCCACAATGGACGGGCGGCTCAATCACAGAATGACGGGCGGCTCAATCACAGAATGAGGGGCTGCTCAAACACAAAATGGACGGGCAGATCAATCACAGAATGGGGGGGGGTTCAATTGCAGAATGACGGGCGGCTCAATCCCACAATGGACGGGCGGCTCAATCACAGAATGACGGGCGGCTCAATCACAGAATAAAGGGCAGCTCAATCACAGAATGAGGGGGGTTCAATTGCAGAATGGACGGGCAGCTCAATTACAGAATGAAGGGGGGTTAATTTAAAGAGTTCAAATAAATCAATGATAGAATGTCATGGTATTCACTCCCAGAATGCCAAGTGGCTTATTCCCAGAATGCCATGCAGTTCACTCACAGAAATCAAAGTCCACTGTGGGGGCTCACAGGTAGGCATAAACTCCACTGACCAGAATATAATTATAATTGGTAACTCGTTTCTATTGTCAGACACAGGTAAAGCTGGCTCTAATATTAGATACAATTATTTCTATATGTTTACTATCTATTTAGCTAGCACAATCTGTTGGTGACTTGGTATTATTGTGTCCATAAACTGACACCATTTTCACAAGACATCTAAACTAATGTGTCCATAAAATATGACCTACAGAAGAAGCAAAGGAGCTGTGAGTTTTACTGATACTATCTGACAGTCTCAGACGTATATACTAACACCATGCGCGTGTTTCTCAGCTAAAAGAATGATTTTATATTTCACTGTGAAACCACTTTCTTCTATAAGACAATTTTTTGCCTTGTTGGATTTGTGATGAATACTGATGACACAATTAATGCAAAAATGTAGACGCTGAGCGTTTCTTAAGACTAATCCTCTATTCAAGGAACTGTTACTCTGTATAAATTACAAAAAGCTCATCCAGTGTAATTCACCGTAATCTATGGATTTCCATCAAATCCTCACACATCCATAACGTATTCACGGGTACTTGACACGTTGCCCGTTAATGTGAGTAGAATTTCATGGTAGGAACGCCGATTCTCGCAACAGTATCTCGAGTCTTCTGGCATTCTTAAAGCTAATATTTATATCTCCGTAGGACTCTTAACATTGAGATAACAGTAAGCAGTGAATCTGTAAAAAAAAAAAATCTTTGTCTTGTTTTTATTAAATAGCAATTAAAATCACATCAAATAGACATGGAAGTTATCATTCCTAATAGGAAAAGCAGTTATCCAAATTCCACATTACCGGCTTACTCAGGGGCCATAACCTTCGTATTACAGGGACCAGGAGACGTACATTACATTAGCTTGGTGACCCATGTTTCAATTGTAAAAAATGATTCCATTCTTCAAGTATAATGAAATTAATATTAAATTAATTTTCTGGAGAAACAAAAAGCCCTTAGTAAGACTCTCCCAAGTGTCAGGGTCTCTTCCTGTGTGCTGGTCTATGGGGGACGTTGGATATTTTCCAATCACTGAAGAACCACTGATTTAAATTTGGTGATACAAATCTGTGTCCCATGCCAGGGGTTAAGAACCACCAATAAAACCACTTCATCTCGATTACATTTATTTATATAGTGTCACCATATTCAATAGCAATGTACAGCCATTAAAGCAAGACAAAACATGTCTGATGTCCACTAACAGTAGGTGAAGATAGCCGTGCGCAAACAAATTTACAATTTAGCAATCTCCAATCTCGATGTAAAGTAGATAATAACTGGTTAACTGACAAACGCTCCAACTTCTCATGCCGATATTCCAACCAGAGGCTTGTTTACCAGAATTTGTCCACATTTTATATATGTATTTTCCTACTTGTTGTACAATGCTGTGGTATTTGGAACCTCTATGCCTAATACTTGTTATAATATTTAATAACCATCTACACGTTTTAAGGCTCAATAGAAAATGAAACATTGTAATATTGGTATACTCTAAAATCCATTGGGTTTATGCAAAGGTTAGGTGACAGATATACAACTTAGACCAAAATAGATAATTAGGAAAGAAAGCTCCCTGACTTGGCTGAATAGGAGCTTCTGGCAAAATGTCGATCAAATGTTTTTTGGTGAGTAGTCGCGTGTGTTGTTAATCTGACTGTCGTGTTTCTAATATAAACCATTTGCTCTTAAATATCTTCATAACTACAAGAAATTGGGGTCAAATTATTATTTTTATTATTAATTACTATTTAATACATGTTAAAGTTTCAAACCTGCATAATGTATCTATGTTCCACAATTTGCAGTCCGAGTCTCCAACAGTTGGAATGATACATTTCAATGGATTTTACCACCTCCGCAATGTGACGTCCCATCACTCCAGCCATGAATCTGAGCGATCATTGAGCCAAAAATAATAATTTCCTTTAGTTTCTGTCATGTTGTGTAGAAAACCCACAGCAGCCTTGCTTCACTTTCTCAGCATCTCCCACCTACAATCGTTTAATGGTAGATTTATCTGGGTGTAAAGTGTTAAACACTGAGATATATTCTCCTGTTGCCATGGTGATTGCTTATTAGTTATCACTTTGCCCTAAAATAACTTCTGTTATTTTGTCCTTATTGTAGTGATAGTCACTCATCCATTGGGTGTAATAGAGTCTCTCCCTCACAATATCTCACATAAAGATAAATGATGCCCGATTATGGAAGTGATGGTGAAATGCTGCTACAGGATGTGGGCCAGAGCCCAGAGATTAAGCAGACACCCCAGGCACCAAAACAACTTCCTGTAAATTCAGTTGTTATGGTGGCAGGAGGCCCCTGGAGGCACTCTTACCTCAAGGGGTTAAACTGTTCTCGAATGGTTTCACCCTTGAGTTGCCTCCAGCGCTGGTCTCAGCTTCCCCCCCACCCCCCCTCCCGCTGGCATCCGACTTAATACTTTTCACTTAAAGGAAGCGTGGAGTGTCATGGGACAGGGGAGTCGCTGATTGGCTGAACACAGTTAGCTGACACTCTCAGCCAATCAGTGAACCGCCATTCACTGAACTGGCTTGACCAGATAACTTTCAGTTTAGTCTCTTCCTCTATATTGCAAGGTGAGAAGCGGAGCAGTAAGCCTTTGGGGTGTACGCAGGGCCGGCCCAAGACATTGTGCTGCCTGGAGCCAAGGATGAAATGCCCTCCCCCCCACATTAAAAGAACGCCAACATCCATTATGTTATGCAGTGTGTGTAGTGAACTCAATGTCTGTTTGTGTAGTGGATGCAGTGTGTGTATTGTATGCAGTGTGTAGTGAATGCATTGTGTGTGTGTGTGTGTGTCTGTGTGTGTGTGTCTGTGTGTGTAGTGGATGCAGTGTGTCATGGATACTGTATCTTTTTGTGTTGTAGATATAGTGTGTATTGTATGCAGTGTGTGTGTTGAGTACATTGTCTGTGTTTGTGGAAGTTGGTGCCATATCTGTGTTTGTATAGTGTATGCAGTATTTGTGTGTTGGATGCAGTGTGTCTAGTGGATGCAGTGTCTATGTAGTGGATGCAGTGTCTTTATGTGGATGTAGTATCTGTATGTGGATGTAATGTCTGTGTAGTGGATGTAGTAGCTGCATAGTGGATGTAGTGTCTGTGTAGTGGATGTAGTGTTGGATAAGTGCCTCCCTCTCCTTCTTGCCTCTTACCTGTGGGCTGGAAGGTGGGGACAGTGTGAAGGAAGGTGAAAGTGTAACCGAGTAAACTTGCAGAAGCCAGACACAGAGAGACGGATGCAGGTTTTCAGGAAGTAAGAGTTCTTTATTAACATACCGATCG